CTTTCTTTTTGACAGAAGATACAGTTTGCAGATTGTTAGTAAATTCATTAGATTCAGTGGAATGATGCTAGAGTTTTGAGTGAATGTGATAACATTTTTCCGTGAAGATGAATATACTTTCCTCTTTATTTTGAGAAGTGATTTGGCATAAGCACTGTAATACAGATATTTGTGAGGCAGAAGAATCAATCATCTTCAAAAGCTCTAGACAACCCAATCAAGGTATGTGGTCATTTCTCTTTGTGCAGAAATTATCCCCTTCGCATATTGAAAGTAACAACAATATTTTCTTTTGTAGGCTGTGCGAAGGATGAAGAACGCCCCCTTGACCTCGGAAGAGACGAAACTTATTGACTTGGTATGCCTAGTGCTCTTAAAGCGACTCATATATTGCTGATTTTTATGAGAATATCCTAATGCTCTTAAAGCCACTCATATATTGCTGATTTTTTATGAGAATATTCTTTTCTCTCACATTTTTTTGTTTGAATGGTTCAGGGCTTGAAAAAGTATAAACTTGACTGGATATCAATATGGAGATGTTTCGTTCCTTATAGAGATCCTTCCTTGCTTCCTAGGCAGTGGCGCATTGCCTGCGGCACACAAAGGTCTTATAAATCTGATGCGAACAAGAAAGAAAAGCGGCGTTTAAACGATTTAAGAAAAAGAGTTGGCAAATCTTCTCCTCCAACTCGACGTTCATCATCTGAGAAGGAGGTTAGCATATACATTATGCTGACAGACTGAATTGGAATTATACAGTATTTTAGTAGTGATTTCCAGAAACAGTCAAACTTAGTGCTTTTTTTTTTTTCATTTATGATTGTTGTTCTATCCTCTATTGTTTCATATTGGCTCTTGAACTATATACGCTGTTAATCACACGACTTTATGGTAGTAGACATGTTTGTACTTTGTAGATAACTGAGTTTGAATACATCTTCATATAATTTTTGCTCTTTTCTTGTCAAAATAGAATTGCTTTCAACACTATTTAATCTTAAAAACTCTCTCATGAAATTGGGGGTTAGTAATTCCATTTCCCTATTTAAGGCTTGTACTTACTGAAAACAATTCATTCTCAGGGCGAAAGTTCTGACGATGCAGTTGATGAAGCTAATCACATCGACAAGGGAGATGAAGCTTATGTTCACGAGGCATTCTTGGCAGATTGGGGGCCGGGTGATAACAACATCTCTTCAAGTAGTCCCTCCTGCATGCCATCTCATGAGGGTTCTAGCCAAGCCCAAACTCATTTCAAGTCAGTAGCTGCTCCAAGGTAAGCCTTATCTCGCGTTATCTCGTGATTTTTCTCGGCAGTTCTAATATCTCATTTTTTCCTACTCTCACGTCCTATCCAGTTCTCAGATACGCATGCGGCCCTATCGAGCTCGTAGGCCAAATAACGCACGCCTTGTGAAATTAGCTCCTGATTTGCCTCCTGTAAATCTACCGTCTTCCGTTCGTATTATATCTCAATCAGCTTTCAGAAGCTCTCAACCCATTACTTCCTCAAACATTAGTGGTCCTGGAACTCTGACGGGCCCCTCAGCGAAATCCGGTTCGAGTTCGAACAACCCTGTTATTAATATTACTGCTAACAGTTGGCCACCGAATCAATATCGAGTCCCGGATTTTCAGATGCATCCTCTGTTATTCCAGGCGCCTCAAGATGGCCGTTTGCCTTACTATCCCATGAACTGCAGTACTAGCACGTCCGGTTCTTTCGCTTTCTTCCCGGGAAATCAACCACAGCTGAATCTCAGTCTTTTTCACAATCCGCGCCATATTAAAGATGCTGTGAACTTTCTCAGCAAATCATCTAAGCCTCCAGAAAAAAATCTTTCATCATCATCTGGTGTTGTTGAGTTCCATCCACTTTTGCAAAGAAGTGATGATGTGGACACGCGTTCGAAAGCTGCATGTCCTTCTCCTGTGGAGTCGAGGCCGCAAAATCACGGTACACTGCAAAATCGTTCTGCCTTCAAAAGCAGAAAGGCTAACAAGCTGGACTTGGACATTCATTCGAGTTTTCTGTCGAAGAACCAAAAAACTTCTGAAAAGGTTGATGTGGCTGCAGCTGCACGTGGTGGTATTGGATCTAAAAGTGTGAAAGATTGTGGGAGGGAGAGAGAGTCTGATCGAGATGGGACGAGGGATGAGCTGGACTCGGGTGATGTTCCAGGGGTTTTGTCGAAAAATAAAGGAAGTGGGAAATTTTTGGATGCTGTGGGTGATGAGTCGCTTCCTGGGATTGTTATGGAGCAGGAAGAGTTGAGTGATTCTGAGGAGGAATTCGGTGAAAATGTGGAATTCGAGCGTGAGGAGATGGATGATTCGGAGGGAGACAATATGTCTGAAGCTGAACAAATGGTGAACTTACCGAATGAGGTACTTATATATGTATTTATACACACTCATACACACTGTTGAGTTACTGGTCTAGAGGAATGTTGTTCTGGTAAGAAATTTTACGATTCATCAAGATGTTATTTTGTCATCTCTTGGCTTAGTGATGTCTATTTGTTACTAGCTCAGATCTAAAAGTGCTTCTAGTTATATAGTCAGATTCTCTGTTGCTGCTTTTCCTTGTTTACTGGATTAGGCCAATAGGGATAATCACGAAAACTATCCCTGATGTTTGGCCTAGTTACGAAGACCTCCTGTTATCTTTCAAAATTACAAATCTCCCTTAAGGGTGCAACATGCAAAAGAAAACAAACGTTTTGTGGTAATCACACTAAACCTCAGCAGTAGTTTTCGTGAGTGATTCTAACATAAATCATATTCTTTGTTATGCTGCTGCACAAGCATTTCCTTTTAAAGCTCTCTTCTAACTGGTTCTGCACTTCCCCTGGAACTGAGTATCTTATTTTGTTTGTGAGACGATTTATTCGTTTCTTGAACATCAACAAGTACTCACTCCTTTGCAACTACTTTCTCTGAGGTATTTTAAACATTTTTCAGGAATTGCCATCAGACGAAATGAATGCAGCAGATACTCATAATGTCCGGGCTCCAAATTCCGAGAGTCAACACAGAGGCAATTTGTGCAGCACATCAGGTGGGCCTGGAATAGAATTGACTGGGAAAGAGGTCAAAGCTAAGCCCAATAATGCATCATCGTTTAATCTAAATTCATGTCCTCCAGTTTCTCCACTTTCGAATACTGAGAATACTGTGGGTGGATATGATTTTGGGCCGTTTGACCGGAGTCAACAACTTACGGCCAGTTTCAAAGTGTCTAGATTGCGTGCAAAACAGGATACGAGTCGTGTGCAGGGCTCAAGTGATACTGTTGCACCGAGAAATAATCCCAGGAAGCGCGTTTGTAGATCGAAGTCTAATTCGAACTTGGCTGGGTCCGGAAAAGGAAATGCGAACCTCAAAACTGATATATCTGTAGAAAAATTGAAACAAGTTGGTATGGAGAAATTTACTTAGCCATTATGGTCATCTGTACATGTAGTCTTGTTCTACTTCATCGTGAAANAAAAATGATTGGTGATTGATTCCTGCTAATGTTATTTGCTTGCAAAAATTGGTTCCTTGTTGCATGGTATGCTCTCGTTAAGGAACATTACAAAAGCTTGCAGTGAACTTCTTTAGCCTTAAGAAGACAAATAGGCAAAACCACAAAAAATAAACAGACAGACAAAGCAATTATATTAATCGTCTGTCTTCTTTCTCCTCCTTTGAAGCATTTTGCATTGTCAAACTACAAAGAAAACTACTAATGAAAGTTAGCAAAACTCATAGACACCAAGATTAAACATAGTTGATGACTGTGCAAAATACATTTTTTCCAGGGCTCAAAATCAGCTCAATAAACACGTCCACGCAACAAAATAAGGTATAACTAGAGCCAATATGAAGGCATTTTTTCGCGTACAGCTCAACAAACGATTTGTTACACTAGAAAAAATCTATGAATAAAAGTTTCAAACAATTCCACTCCACCCAAAATCCGTCTGGGACGTTATTTAAAATGAAGTATTAGCTCGGATAATCAATATTAGAATCTCCATATTGGGATCATATCAGCCACTTCACTGGCCAGAAAACCCTCCCCTTCTGGCCATCATCTCTTGAGCCCTGTCCTTTTTAAGTTGCTCCACAATCTGAAGGGTCTGAGGATTTTTAAACCGGTCTCGAACAAACTTACGCTCTTCGGCTTGAATCTCCTTGACAGCACTTGGATAAGGGTTCGGAGGGGGCCTTTTCCCCTGAAGCTTTGCGATTTGCTTCAAACGAGCATATGCCTTCTTTTTGGATTTTCTTTCAGCACGATATTCCATCTAGTACAAAAGATAGATGTAAAAAGCTGGGGAAGAATATGTCTCGGAAGGTTATATATACATAGTTTGGATATTATATGCCCAGATTCTTCTTTTTAAGGAGAAAGAGTTGAAATAAAAATACAAGACTACGTACATCTGCCACCGCCAGAGCTTCCTCCTCACCAGTGCCTTGCTCCTTTAATTCAAGCACTCTCCAGGCAAATACACGGGCTGCAGGTGGATCAAAACCGGATATCCTGTTGGAAAGTGCACACGTGAAATGTATAGAGATAAAATATGATTAAAAAGGTTGATTATTTGATGTGAAAGCGTTTCACAATGGTTTGAGAAAAGGGAATGTGCCTGGTACCTTACATATTTTCAAAATCTCATTTGTTCGCATTTTCTTTTCAATTTTCTTTTTTTTTTTCCATTAACTCTAATTCGCTAAAATGAAAGGCAGAGATTTGGAAAAAGAATTAAAAAGAAAAATGAAAACAAGCAGAACAGTTAAGATCTGTGTTTAAAAAAAATAAACAGAAGCACTAAACAAGACATTATACTTTTTGGGTTTTATCTAAGATAGAATTGGCCTGAACAACATCTTGTTTCGTTAAGAACAAATAACTTGGCAAAGACTTGTACAAAACTTTCTCAACTTCAAAATAATGCAAATAAAGAACACCACAATCTCAGCAAAACATCTTTCCCCAACTAAATGCCTCAAAAATCACGACTTTTGCCACAAGACTGTTGGTTTTCATTTTCAACAACTGTTTCCACATTCCCAATTCATTTTCCTTTGAACTACGTGGAACCTTATCTCAATGGCTGTCTCTTAATAGCCTTACAAGCTTAATAGAATATATTATATACACGGAGAAGCACAAATGATGTCAAAAGCATGAACCTTTGCAGTTCTTACCAGATGTTGGTTCCTACTTAAAGTACAAGCCCATTTAGCAAGTGTTTTCATACTATTTTCATATTACACATATAAGAAGTAAAACTACGTTGAACCTAGTCATTGATGCAAATATGAAATGTTCGAATCACCAAACCGTATTAGCAACCGAAAGTCGATCCACCCGATTTTCCACCAAGTACAATGCAAAAAAAAGTAGGAAGCCCAGTCAATATTTTATCATCATCCTCTCTTCTGCCCTTTGTTCGTAAAATTAATCATAAACATTAAGCCAAAAACACAGACTTCACGTGCATTCGAATTGCAAAAACGATCAAGCAACATACTTGATAGAATCTTGAAACCTAGAATCCGGATGCTTTTGGAAGAACTTGTTCACGTAAGCATCCTCCGGCAAACTAATCTGCTTGAGCTTACTCTCCGCGCGTGGAAATGTAGCAGGCGGCGCCCTGATTAACATAAGTTCAGCCATGGCTTTTTTGCCAACACTACTATCCCAGCAAATAAATTTAAAGAAACAAATTAAAAGGACAAAACAGCGTACTTTTCCATGGCCTTTAGCCATAAAGGCTCGGCTTTAGCAAACCCTTTAACGAGCTTTCGAGTTTTCGTGAGCAAATCTCCTCTCATATACGACATCGTTCACCTCGGGTTCAAATTCTGCCAATCAAGAATTAAAAGGGTAAAGAAAAAGTCAAGAATTTTAACGGACAGAATCAATATTCGATTTTTACCGTCGAAGGCCAATCGGAAGAACAAGAAGAAATGACAAAGATCACACGCACTGAAATTCAACTGAACCAAAGCTAGCTACCAGGATAGAGAAGAGGGTGAACAGTGAAAAGTGAGTGGCACTATCCTTTGGGCCAGATATACATTAACATTGGGCTTTACAGAGATTGGGCCTGAAACTGTTTATCGAACTAGCCCAACTTTGAATCGGGTCAACTTTATGAGGGAATTGGGTCATCCACTGTTTCTCCCTCTCTGCTTCACTTTCTCCAGTTACACCGTTTACTGTGCGAATTATTTTCTGCTTGCACCACCGCCATCGCCGCCGTCCCTTCTTCCGCCGGCCACTGTGAGCCGCTTTTAGAGGGCCTTCAATGCTATGGATAAAAGACTGGCGGTTAGTTGTTCCACATACCTGAAAAGCCTGAAGACTGGATTTTTAATTTATGGGTACTTGCCTTTTCCTAAAAAAATCCCCATTCTCTGTAAAATTTGGGATATCAAGTCGGTTGAGTTTGTTTAGGAGACGGGTGGCTGTAGAAACCTGTAGCTTTTTGTGCAATATGTACAGTCGAGTTTCTGCAGCTCCCTTGTCGGATGATTCGGACTGCTCCACTTCAAATTGTGAGAGCAGTTCAGACAGTGAAAACATTATTTTAAGAGAGTACGATGGAGAAGCTAAGGGCATTGAGCTTTTCTGTGCTGTTGCTAGAGTCGTGAAGTCTCTGAATTGGGAGGTTGCAAGAAAAGTACGTTTTTCCGATGCTGTCCAGAAGTACGGTTTTGATCAATCACTCGTAGGATTTAAGATGTTTGTTCATGTGTATGCCTGTGCCGGCATGCAATTGGAAGCGTATGCATTGCTTAGGGAGATAGTGTGTTTTTGTCAGAAGGCTGAGCTCGATTTGTTTTGTTTATCTTATGCTCTATTAGATTCTCCTAGTGGTACACAAGGGATGAGTTTTGTGGTCAGTGTACTCATCAAGGTTTTTGCTTCAAATGGGTTTCTTGAAAATTCAATGGATGCGTTTGCACAGGCTAGGAGAGTTGGCTATGAACCGGGAATACGCTCGTGCAATTTCTTGCTTAAATGCTTGGCAGAAGCCAATGAAAGGAAGATCCTTGTTTGTTTATTCGAAGAAATGAAGAAACATGGACCATTTCCAAATGTATACTCGTATACAATTATGATGAATTTTTACTGCAGTGGGGATTCTAGTGAAGTTGAAATCGAGCAAGCAACTAACATTCTTGAGGAAATGGAGAGAAAAGGAATTGGCGCATCTGTCGTGACATATAATGCGTTCATTAGTGGACTGTGCAAGGTAGGGGTTATTGAGCTTGCTTGGAAATTCATTCAAGATTTGAAAAACGGTGGTCAGCTGCTCAACTCTTACTGCTATAATGCTGTTATTCATGGTTTTGTGAATAGAGGTGAAACTGATAAAGCCATGCAAGTTTTCGAGGAAATGAAAAATAGTGGAATCGAGGCAGATGTATATAGCTACAGTATTTTGATCGAAGGTATTTGCAGACATGGAGAAGTTCAGGAAGGTTTTCGGTTGCTTGAAGAAATGAAAGAGAATAATATTAAACCATCCCTTGTCACCTATAGCTCGATTTTAAAAGGTCTCTCTCGCAGTGGATTGATGGATATCTCGTTAGATATGTTCCGTGATATTCGGAGTTCGGGATTTGAATACGACCAACATGCTTACAGCATTTTGATTAGTGGGTTTTGTGCTCAGGGAGATATGGACTCAGCTAACACACTTTTAGAGGAGATGATTAGCAACAGTTTGGTTCCAGATGCGGTTAGTTATAGGAATTTGATTCTTGGGTTCTGTAAAATTGGCTCCTTTGGAAAAGCCTTTTCGTATTTTGACCGAATGAGAGAAGCAGGGTTTTCGTCCAACTCTTTTACGTGCAATCATGTAATAAATGGATACTGCAAAGAAGGAAAATTAGAGAAAGCATTGCAGCTTGTCGATGAAATGAGGGGCTCGGGGATCTCTCCAAACATGCACACGTTTAGTGTTGTTATAAATAGCCTGTGTAAAGAACGTAAATCGGGAAAGGCTCTCGAGATTATTCCAGTTATGCTTAAATGCAACACATTCCCTGGTGTTGTTATTTATGCCAACCTCATGGATGGTTTCTGCAAGCAGGCAGACCCAGAAAAAGCTCATATGTTGTATAAAAAAATGTTGAAAGCCGGGATTCGTCCCGATAAAGTTAGTTTGACAATTCTTATTAATGTTTTGTGTAGAGTGGGGAAGTTGGAAAAGGCATATAAGATGTTCGAAGAATTTATCTCTGAAGGTTTAGAGCCCGATAAAATCTTGTACACATCAATGATAGCTGGATTTTGTCGGGGCAGGGACATGAGAACGGCGTGCAGGCTGTTTGAAGAGATGTTAGAAAGAAATATTTCGCCTTCAGTTGTCACTTATACTTGCCTGATTGACGGGTTTTGCAAGGTTAATCATATGGAAGAGGCCTGCGTAATGTTTAATAGAATCGTTCAGGAAAATTTGTGTCCCGATCAGCTTACCTATTTGGTTATGATTCGTGGGTTCAGCAAACGTGGTGATGCAGATAAAGTCGAGCAGCTTTTGAATGAAATGAAAAATTTAGGCCCGCTTCCAGATGAAAGTACGTTGAGAAAATTTGTGGAAGTAGAAATTTGTGATTAAACATTCAATCGTCTTGGCATTGTTATGTGATTGATTAGCGGGAAGGCAGGAAAGCAAGAACTTACGGTACGTCTCAGAAGTCGAGAGTTTCATGGTTTTTTTCTTTTTTCTTTTTTTTTTTTCAAGTTTCGCCATTTGAATTAGATTTGCTGTACTCACCTCTTCATGATGTTGACAGCATGTTGAAATTGTTTCTCTAACAAAAATGTCTAAAAACATCTACTCTGCTTCATTGGCATTCGCATGAACTTGGGCACTTTTATGATAAATGAGGTATATTACTATATTAGCTATGTTCCTTAGTGCCTTCTTTTTTCTTACTAAGTTACTAGCTTTATTTTCCTTCAGGACATTTGAGAAAGTTGGGAAGAGAAGTAGTCATGGTGCACTAATAATGGATTATGGACGACATCGATTGTGTGGTTCACTCTTCCTGGCAAATTTTTACTGGCAAATCACAAAAGCCTGTGGAAATTTATCTGAAAGAAACAATCAAGATCATGAAATTCCGAGTCCTTTAAACCAAGGTCTTACCCTCTTGATGTTTGAAGGCTTTCTAAAAGTATAAGCATTATGTTGTACTTTCTCCAAAGCTTTTATCTTTTTCATATATGTTAACTGAATATTACAGTGTAATACTTCTCGAAGTAACAGCCATGCCCTCAAACCATGAAGGCACTGGAGGAAGTCCGAGTATCAACAATGATGTCATTTCATCTAAAAGCGGGATTTATCGTGATGAGATAATTTGTGTAGAAAACCGAGCTAAGAGTCTCAGAAGGAAAATATTTTCATTACGTACATCCAATCGTTTCAGTAGGCATAAGCCTTTTATTTACATGCATTATGACTAAAACGACGTCGTGTGCTTAACTATGATTAAACACTCTAAACGACGTCGTCTTGCTAAGACAAACATAATGATCGAAATACAAAAGAAAACAGAACAGAAATGGCTGCATGGTCCTCTACGCATGATCCAAAGTCACCTGCTTCTACACCCCCTCCTCAAGTTGGAGTGTGGAAGAGCTCGACACACCCAACTTGACCAACCAGTGACGAAACATTGGGAGAGGCAGCAATTTAGTGAAAAAATCTGCAATTTGGGCTGAAGATGGGACGAAGGAAGGCAGGATAAAACCAGCTTTATATTTGTCACGCACAATGTGACAATCAATTTCGAGGTGCTTGGTACGTTCATGGAAGACGGGGTTAGCCGTGATATGTAAAGCCGCACGGTTGTCACACCAAAGAGTGATGGGCAAGCGAGGCTGCAGCTGGAAATCCTTGGCCAAGCAAAATATCCACTGTAACTCACAAACTGTTGTTCCCATAGCCCGATATTCGGCTTCAGCTGAAGATCGAGCAACTGTCACCTGCTTCTTGCTCTTCCAAGAAATAAGGCTGCCTCCCAGGAAAACACAATAACCAGTAATAGAGCGTCTAGTATCTTTGCAAGTGGCCCAATCCGCATCACAAAAGGCTGAGAGGTCACTATTAGAAGATGAGCTAAAAAACAGACCGAGATTTGGAGTCCCCTTGAGATATTTGAGGACTGATATGGCAGCCTCCCAATGATCAGTGAAAGGATTATTCACAAACTGGCTAAGTTGTTGTATAGCATAGCTCACATCAGGCCGGGTTAAGTTTAAGTAGAGCAACCGCCCAATCAATCTCCTATACTTATTTGGTTCCTGTAATGGTTGTCCATCAAATCCTGTAAGTCTCAAACCTTGTGGCAAAGGTGTCCCAGCAGCTTTGCACCCCTCTAATTGCATGTCATGGAGAATATCAGTAATGTATTTCCTTTGACATAAATGTACACCTCCATCCACTGCAGTGATTTCAATTCCCAAGAAGTACTTAGCTATGCCAAGGTCCTTAATTGTAAACAAATTATGCAGGTAGGTCCGCAAAGCACAAATATGTTTGTGATCTGTCCCCATGATCAAAACATCATCAACATACACTAACATGGCCAGAAAATTCTGTCCAGTGGCCTTGGTGAAGAGACAATGGTCTTGAGAAGATTGTACCAGGCCAAATTCCAACAGTCTTTTCGAAAGTTCACAATTCCATTCTCGTGATGCCTGTTTTAAGCCATAAAGGCTCTTGAGCAACCTGCAAACTTGTCCTTCTTGCCCTTTCTTACACCCCTGAGGCAACTTCATATACACTTCCTCTGTAAGATGTCCATGCAAAAATGCATTGTTCACATCTAACTGCCAAATAGGCCAATTATTCTGAGCAGCCACAGCCACAAACAACCTGACCGTAACTAGTTTTGCAACGGGAGAAAATACCTCAAAATAGTCTACCCCTTCCACTTGGTTAAAACCTTTAGCTACCAGTCGAGCTTTATATCTCTCCACTGTCCCATCAGCTTTCCTCTTTATTTTATACACCCATTTTGATCCTATAGCCTTTTTCCCTTTAGGTAGGTAGGAGAGTTCCCATGTGTCATTTTTCTCAAGAGCTTGTAGCTCCATATCCATGGCTTCTTCCCAAAGCTTGTCACCCTTTGCTTGTTCATAATGAGTAGGTTCTGTCCCTGCTTGAATATTGGCTGAGAAGGCTAGATCTTGTGCAGTGGAAGTAGAAGCTGTGTGACAGACATAATCCTTCATCCAATCTGGCTGTCTCCTAATCCTTTTGCCTTGCTGTGGTACTACAATATCTGGTGGTAAGTTATCCTCTGATGTGTCGTCTTCTTCTTGATGAGAAATATCAGGTTCATCATGCACCAAAGGTAAAGGTAGTTCAGCAGACTGCAAAGGGCTCTTATCCTTGAAAGGAAACACATGTGCTTTGAATATTACATCTCTGGAAATAAATCTTTTACCTTCATCAACATCAAGTAAAACATAACCCTTACATCCTCTTGCATATCCAAGCAAAACACATTTATGTGACCTTGAATCTAGCTTTCCTCTGGTAGGATTTGTATTCACAGCAAAAACCAAACAACCAAAAGGCTTAAGTTCATCATAGTCTGGTGGTTTCTTATACACCCTCTCAAATGGTGTTTCCCAATTGATTGCTGTACTAGGCAGCCTATTGATGATATGAGCAGCTGTAATGACCGCATATGGCCAATATATAAGCTCCATTCCTGACTGAAAGATCAGACCTCTAGCTATCTCAAGCAATTGTTTGTGTTTCCTTTCCACCACACCATTTTGTTGTGGTGTATAAACACAACTTTTCTGATGTATAATCCCATGCTCCTGAAAAGTCCTCTGACAGGATTGTCCCAGAAACTCTTGACCATTATCACTCCTTACTTTCTTGACATCTGCCCCAAATTGTGTTTTTACCATGACAATAAAACTCTTGAGAAGTGCTGCCGTCTCTCCTTTGCTAGACATAAGAAATGTCCACACCCCTCTGCTATAGTCATCTACTATGGTCAAAAAGTAGGGTGTTTTAGTGATAGATTCATCTCTGCATGGACCCCATATATCTACATGTAACAACTCAAAGCAATAGGAAGTCTGAATGCTGCTAGAAGGAAAGGGCAATCTATGCTGTTTAGCCTTGAAGCACACTTCACAGTCCCTTACTTCTCTCTCTCTTGCTCCTTTGCAATATTTTTGAAGATGTGGTATCTGTTTTAGAGCTCCAAATGATGCATGGCCTAGCGTGTTATGCCACTGAAGTAGTGGTGTAGGACTACTCATGTTTAGAGCAGCAGTCTCTTCTTTGCAATCTAGGATATACAACTTGTCCTTTAAAGTACCATGTCCAACCACTGTCCCTGTAATTGTGTGTTTGAGGAAGCATCCCTCTGAAGTGAACTCACATCTCAAGTTGGAATTCAAACACACTTGTGTGACTGACAGCAAGTTATATTTGAAGGTAGGGACAAAAAGAACCTCATGTAATATAAGCTTGTCTGAAATAACAACCTCTCCTACCTTAGTCACTTGTTTGCTTGTTCCATCTGGCATGTAAACTGTTATTGGTGAGTTCAGAGTAACAACATTATGCATGATGCCTTCATTAGTGCACATATGTTTACTGGCCCCAGTGTCAATCACCCATGCATTACCATTTATTTCATCAAACATGGACAAGGCATAATGTCTGTCTTCTCCTTCCTTATTTCCAGCAAAATTGACATATTGCTCCTCTTCTTTATAGAGATTGCTTCCTGTTACATCAAAGGTTCCTTTATTAAGCAGCTTTGCTACCTCTTGAGCCAAAGAAGTAATATCTGAGTTTGTACTATTTCTTACTCCTTGTCCCCTCGCAGTCCCTTCAGTCTGTACACTATTTACCACTCCTCTACCTTTCTTAAACCACTCAGGATATCCATGAAGCTTGAAACAAGTAGATTTCTCATGGCCACTTCTCCCACAGTGATCACAAAACAGTTTGGCCTTTTCCTCCTTGGATAATCTTGGTGCTTCTCTTGCAGTCCTCTGATTGCTGAATTGTGGCCTCATGTTGTTTTCCTTCCCAAAACCACCATGTCTGGCCACCATTGCTATATTAGGATTGGTATCACCACAAGTAAAGTTCACTGCTCTTTGCCTCTCTGCAGATAGAATCATGGAGTATGCTTTACTAACAGTCGGTGAAGGATCCATTAACAACACCTGATTTCTGACACTATCATAACTCTCATTCAACCCCATTAAGAACTGCATTAGTCTCCCTTGCATGTGTTATTCCATTATCGATTTCCCGATATCACATTTGCACACCAACAGAGGCACCAAGCTACCCAACTCATCCCACATCTTCTTCAGTTTGTTGAAATACAACATAACAGGCTCATTACCCTGTTTATGATTGGCAATATCCCGCTTTAATTGAAAAATCAGTGGTCCATTGCTCTCTCCAAATTGCTGAGCAATCTCTTCCCATAACTCCTTTGCAGTTTCAGCGTAAATGAAGCATTCAGCAATTTCCTTCGATATTGAGTTCAGAATCCACGAAATCACCATCCAATCCACCTTCTTCCATTTCACATAATTGACATCATTCACAGCCGGCACTTCAATTGTGCCATCAACAAACCCTAACTTAGTCTTCGCACCAAGCGCAATCAACATTGACCTCTTCCAAGCTAAGTAATTAGATCCATTGAGTTGATGCGAAACCAGTTGCAAACCTGGATTATCGGATGAGGTTAGAAAAAAAGGATTCTCGTCTCGATCGTCGGTGTTGCTTCCTGCTCGAGCATTCAGCAAAGGCCAAGCTTCATTTTGCCGATTGGTCGCCATTTGAGATGAGATCGAGCTTCAAGGATCGATTTTCTGCTCTGATACCATGTAGAAAACCGAGCTAAGAGTCTCAGAAGGAAAATATTTTCATTACGTACATCCAATCGTTTCAGTAGGCATAAGCCTTTTATTTACATGCATTATGACTAAAACGACGTCGTGTGCTTAACTATGATTAAACACTCTAAACGACGTCGTCTTGCTAAGACAAACATAATGATCGAAATACAAAAGAAAACAGAACAGAAATGGCTGCATGGTCCTCTACGCATGATCCAAAGTCACCTGCTTCTACAATTTGACCGTAGTCATGTGTTCTAATGCAGGGCAAATGTAATCCCAGAATTCCAACTTCTTGTTTGATGTAATTCACGTTGGATTTTATCTTCATCAACTCGAATTTGAATTGATTGTTTTTTCATTCTTTTTCAGCCCAAGGATCTCTAATCCAAAGAACCTGTCACACACTTCAGTTATCAAGTTGGTATTTATCCCTCCTGAACAGTGGTTTTTCAGCCTTTTTCTTATTCACAGTTTTGAGAGAGATTGTAAATATGAAACATTTTCTGTTGTAAGATTGTTTTGCACTGTGTTTAGATTTGCAAGTGGACAACAAGACAAGTGGTCTCGTGGGAGTTGACAACAACGGGCCTCAAAGTTTCTCTGGCCCGGATCCGCTTCAAACCAAGATCCACTTTGAGACCCGTTTAGCAAAGCTTGAGCACCTGGATTATTGTATTTTATTCTGTTTGATCACTGCAATTAAATTCGATTCTATAAAAATTGGCTGGCGTTTGATGAGTGAATTGTGAAGCATATTTGTGGTTGAAAAACAATTGCTTTTGACATTCAGTAAAGATGTATTAAGATTTAATTCTACACTATTTTTTAACCTCCCAATGTTTGTTGGAATATTTCATTTTTTTTTTCTCAAATTATTGGGCTAATGGTTAGTTCTATTTAAATTTCGCTTAATTTTCTTTCTGTGCAATGAGATATACTCCATAATTGGTCATTGGTCACAAATCGTGACCAAACAATAGGAATTTTGGGTTTGACCTAAAATATTGCATAATTAAAAGAACTCCAACCTAAAATATCTGTCAGAAAATGTTCTACAATGTTCTACAGTTTTCCATTTGTAATATTCAAACACCTAAACAAAACAAATTATCATCAAAGTTATAAAAAATTCAATATTACAAATTGACTTTAATTTGGTGAGAATAAAGAGCACATTTTTTTTTTCTCTGTGTTGGCTCTCTCTCTCTCTCTCTCTCTCCGAAACAAATAGATAACCCGACCCGATAAATCTCTCTCTCTCTCTCTCCGCACAAAATCCATGTCGTCGGCGGGTATTTCGGGCGGCGGGGACGGCGGAGCCGCTGCCACCGCGTGTCAATACTACTGCTACAAGTGCGAACGCCACGTCGCCGTCGTGCCCCCGTCCTCCCCCACCGCCGATGTCGTCTGCCCCAACTGCGGAGGCGGATTTCTGGAAGAATCCGACCCGGAAACCGCTGCCCCGATCCCCGACAACCCAATCCCTAACCCCTTCTTCGCCGACGCCTTCCCGGCCTCCTCCCCTTTCGGCGGCTTCCCGATCGTCTTCTCCTCCTCCTCTCCCGGCGCCAACGCGTTCTCCTTCTCGTCCGGCGGCGGTGGAGGATTCGAGGATCTGTCGGCGCTCTTCGGTGCTCGATCCCCCGACGAGTTCAACCCTTTCTCCTTCCTCAACAACTACATCAACGGCCTCCAGTCTAGGGGAGCTAATATCCAGGTCGTATTCGAGGGCCCCAGAGGCGGCGCCGCCGGAATGGGCGGCGGAGGGGTCGATTTCCGGCTGCCGATGAATTTTGGGGATTATTTCATCGGCCCCGGTTTGGAGCAGTTGATCCAGCAGCTGGCAGAGAACGACCCGAATCGGTACGGGACGCCACCAGCTTCAAAGACTGCAGTCAAGGGGCTTCCGGATATAAGCATCACGCAGGAAATGCTGGCTTCAGATTCTTCTCAATGCGCAGTGTGTAAAGATAGCTTCGGATTGAAGGAGGTGGCAAAACAGATGCCCTGCAAGCATATCTATCACAAAGATTGCATCTTGCCATGGCTTGAGCTGCACAATTCATGCCCTGTTTGTAGGTATGAGCTTCCTACTGATGATCCAGATTACGAGAGTCGAAGAACAGGGCAAAATAGTGGCAATGGTAATAGGAACAGGGGTAATGATAATAATAGTAACAACAATCAAGAAAATAGGGGTAATGATAATAATAACAACAATAGTAACAGCAGTCCTCAGGCACCGAGGACTACGGAAAGGGGTTTTAGAATATCATTTCCATGGATTTTTAGAGGTTTGGGCTCACAAGCTGGGACAAGCAATAATGGGGGAGGAGGAAATGGGAATAATGGTGGAGGGAATGGTAACAATAGCACGAACAGTGATAGGGGAGGATCGAGTACTGGTCAGGGTAGAGGAGGTCAAGCGAGAGAGGAGGATCTCGACTGAAGTATGTTGTTGCAGTTTAATGTTACATCTCTATTTATTTTGCTTTTTATGTTTTTCTTCTTTATTTGTGATTGAGGTGATTTAGCGCTCGAATCGTGACTTTGTGTATCATGTAATGCAATGCTTGGTTTAGTATTTGATTTCACGGGACAAGATGGTTGTTTATTGTGTTTTCTTGAAGTATAAGTTCCTTTTTCAGTTTCAAATCAGAAGATTTATGGGTTTAGTTGTAAAACATATTGGACAATACTTTGAAGAAATTGCTTATATACGACTTGGCAGTTTCTTTTGTAACATGTGCGGCTGAGAAACATGTCTGTATAGGTCTTTGAAGCATTGATGAACCTTGAGCAGACAAGGAAATTGGTATATTCAAATTATTGCTGGTGTGTTAATCGTTAAATGTAATGCATTGTGGAATATATTTTTCCTGCCCAAGTTGCTGTAGTCTTGCTGTTGCCGTCATTTTCTATTACCAGCTACAAAAGAGAAATTAACAGCATAAGTACCAGAAAGGAACTTACAATTCAATATTTGTTGAATTCTGGTAATAATTTAGCTATGTTTATGTATATATATATATGATGTGAGCTTGGAGAGAATGATTCTATGGGACATATAATCTCTTCATAATACCATAGGCATAGGATAATAGTTGACTTAGAAGCAGCGGGATGATAATCGATTGCACTTGTTAGAATTGATCTCCCGCACTGCATATTTCTTAAAACCTTGTCTCTGTACTTGAACTCTTGGATGTTAGCATTCAGTACATTATATGTTGCTAACATTGATATTTTTCTTGCTGTTATTCACCTTATTATGGTCATAGACTTTTCAATTGAACACGATGAATAGCATAATGCATTACTTTTGCACCTCCTTTGATGATGTTCTCCTTATAATTCGTGTTGGGCGAGTAACGTCTGGCATAATTTCAAATGTGGAAAGAGTGTTTTTACTAAGATCATGCTCTGCTTCACTTGTCTGGATTTGACATTTCAAGTGCTCCATTTCTTGTGACCGAGTTCTGGTTTTCATATGCAAAGCAAGATTAACATTTTGCACAGTGATCTCTATACTACATGAACTCTAGTGTTTCATACCCGAGCGAATTACAACTTACTATCGATGCTTGAGGGCATTGGCGTTGAATACCTGCTTAGCAACTCAATTAATATCTGTATGTAATATAATTGGCAGGTCATAGGTGTATTTTCAACTTTGCATTCTGTGTAATGTCCAAACTTGCTGCTACTTTCGTGTGCATTATTACAAATATTGTAAGCTATTACACTTATTAGACAATTAATTTGTTACTAACTAATCAAGATTCAGTTCTCTTCAAACGCAAATGTTTCAACAACAAAGGATATTAATGCCATGATTGCTACCATTACAAAACGCATTTATCGAACTTCTTTTTGTTAACATTACTGAGGCAAAAGGTACAACTACAAAATCTCTCGAAAAACAACCACACAAGTTTCGCATTGAATCTCACAACAGAAATCCAAAAAGGTCTTAAATAAACCTATCCATAAGAGACTCAGCACTACAGTAACACCTATTGTCCCGCTGCAAGAGAGTGTGAGTGTGGGTCACCAGTTCACCACCTATTGTTAGGCGGCTTCACCTTGTAAATCCTCACGATCCAGTTTGATGTCGTGAAAGCCTCCTCCAAGTGTTCCAATTTTATGTCTTTATTTCCAATTTCGACCCCCCGTGCCCTGTCATATCTGTCACAGCCAACAACATTGCATCAGATAATATAATTTTTAGGCCACAATTATTAGAACATAAAACCAATGGAAAACCTGAGAAAATTTTGTGCAATTGGGTTCACAGAACCAATTCGGGTAGAATATTATGTCATGTTATTTTGTAGTCACAGTTCACAGAACCATCTCGAGAATGCACATGGTTTGACAGTATTGTCTAAACAATATGTAGGCATTCACACGAAATTTAATTGCAGACCGATGTTCTACCTAGAGACTGAATGCATTTAACTATGTATGGACAATTTTGAAACATGGAGGCATTAATTGTGCTTTGCTCCCAAAAAAACAAAAAACAAGAGAAAATGGAAATGAAGTATATTCAGTATTATACCATTATTCAACAAAAATTAATGTCACATCAACCTAGATCCATGCTTCAAGGGACATAAACCACAAAGGTGAACTTCATTAGAGGGCAAGAGAAAAATGAGACGTGAGGGATACATATAAGCAGCAAGTTAACTCACCCAGGAGGCTTTCCATATTCTGTTGTCAGTTCACCGAATCGGTAGTAAGATAGTTTGTACCTAATCACAAAATCAAGAGAAACATTTAATGCGATATCCCTGAAATTGAGGGGACATTTTGTGAGTACCAACAAATTCAATATACACCAACCTAAAATCACGTCCACAAGTGATCAGATCATAACAATCGTGAATCAAACTAGTCAGTAGGGAAACTTTGTATATGCGAGCAATGTAGACAGAAATGCAACAAAGACAACACATAGCATATGTTTAAGCATTTTGTCTTAGCGCCAAAGCAACCTTCGAAGGGAATGAATCAACCAGTTATTGCAAACATAAAGGGATTACTTTCATAATGGCTTAGCTAACACATGAGATCTCCTAATCTGACTAGCATGAAATCTTTCAGTTACAATACTTTTGCTCTATCTGCATGAAATCTTAGGTAGATAGGAGCATGACTCCAAGAGACCACTATAATGTTAATAATAGTATGCAGACAGATAAGAAACTTCATAAACGGTTCCAGAAAGAGAGAAAAGGCGAGATTGCTATCTTGCGACTTGAAACTAATAGATAATCTAAAGGCCTTAACATACTGATAAGTCCATGCAGCCAGATAATAATTAGGTAAGTTTTTTTTCCTTTAGTAATTGTGATCAAAGCATTAAAATTAGTTGAGAACGCTTTAAAATGTAAGATGCCACTGCTAAGAAACATTGGCCGAAAAAAGTTTGCAAGTGGCAGTGTTCAGCAAGACAAGAAAATCAACTTACATTAAACAGTTCAACATCTTTGGAGCTGCGCCTTTGTCGATACGGTACTCTCCATTGACAAGATAGTCAGGTTCCTTAATTACAGGGAAAACTCCACCTCCAATTCTCACCATCCACAAAAATCTGGCATAGAAGGATTGCATATTTTTGTGAGTAAATGTAAGTAATCAATAATTTCATTTCTTAAAAAACGACAAATTACGAAAGTGCAACCAATGCGTTTATACATGCAAATAGGATTTGAAAATTTTTCTATAGCTGGGAACCAAATCATTCATGTCAAAATACATGGATAAAGCATTGAGAGTAGCCCATGTTGCATAAGTGGTCAGTGCCATAAAAAGTGATCTTATAAGAAACATCAATTCTCCAGTTCTATCAGGTATGAAAGAAATTCTTCTTTATCATATGTTGTAACTAATATATACAATGTAAAACTGTAGTAGGGGGGTGTAGTGTAGCGAGTAAAATTGTAACTTGTATATATGATGTATAACTTCTATATACAATGTGTGTGTGTGCAAAGACATAAAAGTCTTAAAATATATTTAACTTCTTACTTGTTGATATCATCAGAAGAATAACCAGTTACACCTCCAAAGACCACTAATACATAATCGACATCCAGTGATCTCATTATCTCATATGCTTCGTCCTCATAGGATGACATAGCACGTCCAACAGTAGCTATATGTGTGTTATTCCAAGTGTTATTGTCTACAATAACAGTTCTGTTCCCCATGGCAGTAATCTGATATCCATAATCCCACCAGGACATCACCTTCGCATCTGCAGGAGTGTTTTGTCGCAGCCAAAAATAAGCTTCACGGTAATCATCAAATATGACCCGGTTACCATGAGCACCCCTGGCTGCTAGAACGATTGATGGAGATGAATATGCTTCTGATGTAACCCAAGTACAATGAATAGCATATCTGCTAAGCAGGTAAAATGCTCCAAGAAGCAAAGCAACAGCACCATTTCTCTGGAAAGGCATCGACTGATCCACTGACCCCTGTTTGTGCAATGAAACAAGGTTAATTTTTGTCATCCATAACTATTACAATGAATGCTTCTCATAACATTTGAATAAGCCCAAAGGAAAGTGCAATATTTTACGCCCATTAGAATATTTCACACCACAATCAATTTCTACTGCATTTCAGCACAAATTACCAGATAACTTATATTCCACTTATATGCCAATGCCTTTCAAATAGAAGACTGAAAAAAGAAAGTATGCATATAGTACTTGGTATATAGGATAAAGGCAGTCCAATACATAGATTTACACACTGTTCATTCTTTTTAAGACCAGCTGTGTGAAGTCCATCACTATACACTTTTGAATGGCTATATTCACATCTCCCACATGATCTTACTACAGTTTAGCATGAAGTTGAAGCATTTATCTTAACATCAATTTGAGAGAGAGAGAGAGAGAGAAGAAAGAAGAAGAAAAAGAAAAGGAAAATTTTACAATTAATGCTGTTAGCTTTGCAGTTGTCAGAAAAAAAAACCGCTGTTCAATATATATAATCACTCGAAAACCCACCTTAGAAGAAGCTTTGGTGCTAGATGCTCCTTTACCGGACGCTACAGAAGCAGGTTTGCTCTTTGCCCTGACAAGCTGGGTTAAACTTTTTATAGTGGCTGAGACTGCAATGGCACTAATAAGGCATACAGCAGGCGTAGCAACAAGTATCAAGCGCACCATGACTCCAGCAAAATACATGCTAGTGAGACCATACATCACTATGAATATAGTGGCATCCGACAAACGCTTAAAGCAGAAATATAAACCAGCTGGGAATAGAATTAGCAGAATATGATAATCAAACATGAATGATGACCATGCTGTTGGTTGATGCTCAGAAACAGATGCAATTATGGGGATGTGATCCTTAGCATAAGTTGGGTCCAGCAGGGAATAAAACCGACCAGTCCACGGAGAAATATAACCAGATGCAGTGCCAACTCCTAGAGCTATGGCACCCAAACCCACAGCACTGGTGACTGTGACTCTCAGGAATGTGTGAAACTTCCTTGGATCATTTAACAAATACTTGACCCAACCCAAAAAGTAAAACACCTGAGGCAAGCAGTTGAAATTAGCTTCATATAAATTCAATGTAAACTTGCGTAAAACAACCAGGCACAGCCGCACAGATGAATCAAAACAACTTGAAAAAAATAAACTCATGTAAGAGATAAATCTAGAGATAAGCCATTTGGAATTATACTGTTATAAATGCTTCAAAATTTATAGAAAATTGGATGCCATGCCTGGCAATTATTATCATCTCAAGAGTGATGCGTCTTGAAATCAGTGATGAACTAATGTAGAAGCAGAAAGAACTTTAAAATTAGATCATTCAAGTATAAATTTGATCATATGAAGGCAATATTCAGAAAAACTCATGAGATCAAGTACCATTACATCTCATTCTTATGACACTTATACTGGTACAAATTGCATTATTGACCCCCATAGACCAAAGCCACAATGATATAAATCTGGGTTGCTTGTGCCTCAAAATAGATGCTGGTATCGATGACCAATAAGGTAGATTTAAACTAAATTGACTTCGCCAACTCGTATCCAACATCCAGCACTACTTTTTACTATCGATAGTAAGATTTAGCATCTTGCATTAGAACATATAGAGCAAGATTCTAAGGAAAAATCACCAACATCCACTCAAATGCAAGCTAACTTTACATTTTTAAGCGGATGAAGTGACATTGCTAATGGTAATATAAAGCTAATACCTGCAACAAGAAAAACACACCCATTGCTGCCATGTGTTCCCCAGATTGCACATGTTGAAAGCCAACAAAACGGATCTGCATTGCTAGCAACATTCCCAGAACATACATGCAATTATAAGCCACATATAACCTCATTGAGTATCTCCCAGTAATCAACAGTACCATCACATATAGTGGAATCAGATTGATAATGAAGACATAACCACCCCATGCCGAAACCATGTAGAAGTACCCAAAAGCTGAGGCCAGAGCCCAAGAAAGTGAGCCTGTATTCACAGCCTTGACGAATAAATAGAAAGTAAGAAGCAATGCAAATATAGCGACACCCTCGTTGTCGTACGATCCCGCAACCGACCTCGAAATATAACCAGGGCAAATAGCAATAAATGCAGCTGCTACAAGTCCAGCCCCAGAGTCCCATAACAGTTTCCCAAAGAAGTAGGCAACAAGAGTAGTGTTGGAAGCAAAAAACGGAGCAAGGAGCACACAAACTTCACGGATGTGAACAGCAAAACTGTAAACAATAACCCATTTTAGATCTCAGCATCCCGCGCAAACAACAATAGTCAAATCTAATAATTTTGTGCCGCACATAAAAGTAAACATCACATTTCATACTTTATTATGCTCAAGGAAATAACACCACAATAAATCACAATGCTTTTCTACCTTCTAGATCAAACTATTACACCAACCAACATCTTCAATTACTGCATTAAAAATAATACTCCGAAAATAAATTGCGCATGCATACTAAAATGGAAAGAAATGTACCCTATAAAGCGTAGAGTCCAGAAAATAAACGCAGCTGTAACCATGAGCCCAGGGTACAGAGTCCCACCAATAATCCTTCCAAGAGGGTACCAGCTTTCCGAATCAAACCAGTTCCAGAACTCATAAAACCCCTTCTGAGTCAAGTACTGAGTGACTCGGTAGTTGAAGTAAGGGTCAAACTCGTGGATCATGCTCTCGTAGCGCAAGACGCTGAACAAACGCGTGATGAACGCCAGGACGTAAATCAGGCCGAGGATCGTGACGCGGATCAACAGCTCCTGCTGCTTCGTTTTCAGCTTGAGGGATTTCAGCAGGGAGCTGACGCCGGACGACGCCAGCAGATCCGCCGGCGGTTTCTCCATTTTCGCCGCTACCATTGGATCGGTCGATCGGAGGAGGGATCGAATTACGATGTATGGGGAGTTGGTGTTAGTAGCTGGGGGAAATTAGTTCAGGCATTGAGGAGGATTTTTTCAGCCATTAAAACCCTCAATTAGTGAGCTCAATGGGTCAGTGATAACAGTTCAAAGTGTTGGTCTTTGGGGATGAGGTGTGGAAATGTTTGTGAATTGCCAAAAAAGTTGGGGTGCTTTTGCAATAATGTCTTTTTTCTTTCTCACCCAAAAAAAAGTTGCAAATTTGATTTTCGTCCTCTATTCTCCAGCAGTCCAGCTATTAGCCTATTACCAGAAAAAAATTGGATTTCATTTATATATTTGCAATTTGGTACTCAACTCAATGGGAAAAAATTAAATTGCCGAAAAATTATGTGTCATTATCATAGGTGGCCAAAATTGTTCCTAGGTGGGCAGAAATTGTTGTTTTGGAGGACGTGGAATTTAAAGATTAGCCACGTCATTTACTTAGACAAAAATCTATGAAAATAAAATAATTAAAATTAAAATGCAAAAAAATAAAATAAAAACACTTCCATTTAAACTCGAATTAACAGCAAACTAGAACACCAAACTTAAAATTGATAAAGACCTATTATAGCCTATGACAAGAGTTTACATATCAATTTGGACGATTAGACATCGAAAAATTTAATTTTTTCCTTCAAAAAAATATATGAAAAGGAGATAAAGAAATGCTTACGTTCAAGACCGACTTAACAATAAATACGAAGCCAAATATTGAAATTGACAAATAGCTATTGTGACACATGAAGAAAAGAACAAAATAATTAGTTCATTTATCTATTTTGAACAACCGAATTGTCGGGAAAATCCCGACAACTCGGTTGTCCAAAATTGATGGGTAGTTGGGTACAAATTAATATTGCATGACATGATTCTAAGAATTATTATTGTTAAAAACTAATTTGATTAAAATTTTATCACAAATGTGTCATTTCGGACAATTTAGTAAATTATTTCCTACTGGTGCGTTTTAATTCGTATTATATGCACGAAAAACATAATCCCACCAATATTTATGAATAATAATTAAATTTATTTATCATTTATAATTGAAAAATAAATTTATCAATCAATTGATATACATTATTATATGATATGAGCCTATGAGGTGTAAAAAATTACTATTATTACAATAAACAATTATTCACACGACAGCACTCATGTTATTTACGAAAGCCACTTAATATAACTATCTGCACTTATAAGAATTTGAAAGAAAAAAAAAATGTGCATATTTTTTTTAATTATTTTATGCTCGTTAATTCCACATTTGTGTAATGTTGTACTTGTGATAATCATGCACTTAATCCTGCTCTTGTTTCAGCATTAAAAGAATCACTTTCATCATCAAAGACCTCCCTCAGGCAAGATTACAACTTAAAAAGTTCCACAAGACGAGTTAATTACCAATAGTCTCCACAAGAACAAGAACCATCTTTAAAACAATGAAACCTGCCTCGATCGCTCACAACTATTTCCCGACCCACGATACTAGAAATCAACTTAAACGAAGCATGGCAATCTTCACACACACGAAGATTCTTGAAAATCCTGATCGTCTCGCCACGTGGCGTGTTCAAAAGCCCGAAAGCCAATGCTAGTTTCTCACTGTGCTGAAACAAGAACATCTCCTTTTCCTTCTCATCAACATCTAAAAGAACAACCGATGTGTTTGGTACGTAGCCTTTTAACCTCATTCGCACTAACAACTCGTCCCACATTTTACGTATCTCCTTGCATTGAGGATGGCTTTCATCCCCAGCCACAAACTCATGGACAGTTCCTTTGATATTAATCGAACTCAAGCCAAATGTCCTTTTTACCCCTCGACTTCTTCGCATCATCTTCCTCACTTCAGTTGAATCCTCCCATCTCTTTGCTTCCGAGTATATATTCGCAAGCACAATGTAATAGCCATCATTCGAAGTACACAATTCGCGCAGATGACTCATTGCCAATTCGGCCATTTGCACGTCTTTATGGACTTTGCATCCGCCAAGAAGAGCACCCCACACGGCTATTGTAGGCTTTATAGGCATTTTTTTTATCATATCATGAGCCTCACGAAGAAGACCACCACGGCTTAATAAATCTACCACGCATCCATAATGTTCGATTTGCGGGACAATTTCATAATCCCGAGTCATGCTCGCGAAAAAATCACGCCCCTCGTTTATCAAACCCGCATGGCTACAAGCATTCAAGAGGCTGATAAAGGTGATCTCATTAGGCTCCACCCCTGTTCGAGTCATTTCGTAAAAGAGGTCTATAGCTTCGCTTGCTTTTCCATGGATTGCCAGCCCTTGGATCATGGCTGACCACGAGATAACCGTACGCTTGTTCATTTTCTCAAACACGTCACGTGCAGCTTCTAAATTTCCGCATTTAGCGTACATATTAATTAGAGAGTTTGAAATAATATTGTGGTTCTCACTTGTGAACCCATTCTTATCCGAGTAGCGATGAATACGAATACCAAGATCAAGTGAACCCAAATCTGCACAAGCTGCTAAACCGGCAACAACAGTGAACTCATTAGGCTTCAACCCTTCTTCCTCCATCTTCCTGAAAAGTGAAATTGCCTCCTGGGGCTTCCCACACTGAACGAAACCTGAAATCATAGCCGACCATGACATCAGATTCTTAACCGGCATTTCGACAAACAGTTTGTATGCAGAGTCAGCATCACCACTCTTCACCAGCTGCGTTAACATCGTGTTCCAAGTAACAACATCTCGATTAGGCATTTTGTCGAACAGTAAAAGTGCATTTTTCATCTTCCCACAAGATGCGTACAAATGGAGGATCATATTCAGCAGAAGCAAGTTCGAGAGAAGCCCGAGTTTTTCCACGAACGCATGTATAATCATACCATGGCAAACATCCTGCAATTTCACACACGCCTTGAGGACAAAGGAGCAGGTATAACAATCAGGACACAAATTGTGCTTTCGCATTTGGTGAAACAACAAAACAGCATCAAATGGAGATTCGCCATCGGCGAAATCTCTCAAACAAGTGTTCCATAGATAAGCTTCCTGCTCGCCAGCTTGCCGGAAGATTTGCTGGGCATAGGAAAAGCTTGGAGTAAGAGCACAAACCGAGGCCACGCGGGACATTGGAATACTTGAAAGATGAAACCCATTTCTGATTATGACGCCATGCACTTGCTTGAGCTCAATTGGAGTGTTGAAGTTATGAAAAATTTCATTTTTAGTAGATGCTGAGATGGGCTTGGTTGAATTATGCAGGCTGGTTCTTGATTCAGTATAAAGAGATGGAAGCACGCATAAGGGTAGTTGGCAAACCATAGCAGGGCTCGTAATTTGAGCTTGAAGCACTTTTTTTATCTATTTGCGATGTTAAATTTTTGGACGACTTAGTTTTATGTCGAATTTTTGGATAATGCATGCAAGTAGTTGAATGCATTAATTACTTGCATAAGCGGATAAATACGCATCATTATTTTATTAATTGCAATATAGTCTCAAGTGAAAAGTTTGGTCAAGCTAGCTAGCTGCATTGTCCTTTCTTGACATGTGTGCGAAGCAAAATGATTATTCTTGCAAACAAGCTAAGAGAATTGAATTGAATTGATTACCAATGATGATAAAGTAGCTCAAGTTGTGGATTTGTAGGGTAATTTATGACATTTTGGGCACGCCATGCGACTATATCCAAATCTTGTTTGACATTTCTTAAAAGTACAAAATTCGTTATCATCACTTTCTCAACACATAGGTGGTATTATTATCACTTTTGACATGGAATAAGTATATTATATAATCAACCGTGATCAATGTTGATACTGATAAGATCATGTAATTATAGAGAAATTAATTAATCATTAGAATTTCAGTGACTTTCTAAGCAAAGTCGGTCATTTGTCATCCGACTCTACATTTTCTGCATCTTTATGAATTAACATAAATTGAGTAAAAAGAAACCAACATGATCTACAGTACTGCAACAACTCATGGAAATAATCATAAATTCAACGTGAACAGGAAATAACCTATAGCCAATTAAATAAAAACAAAACAAAAACTTGTAATATTTTTAGCTCTTACATATACATTTTAATTGCACACACACCAACTTATACTTAGCTAGACAAAATAAATTGTTACATAATTTATGGGAAAATAGTAACACAAAACAATACAAGAGCATGATCCCCATAAGCCATTTAGATAATTCATAGATATATATTTTATATTTTATGACGATATATATATATATATATATATGTATATAACTGTTCTAATTTTTAGTGTGTGAATATATTTATATATATGATTAGTGGTTGCGGGCCGCCACCTTACACATGGCGACGTTTGGACGGTGGCGGTGGCGGTGACAGTTCCGTTTGGCCGGACCGGCCGCTATTGGCACCTGTGGGGGTGTAATCGTTTAAATTCGAAACCAATATTCTCTCATTATTAATCTTCTGCAAAATATTAATTACACTACAAATCAGTCATAATAATCGAAAACAAATAAANGAAATTATTAATTAAAGGGAGGAGTAATCCATTAATAATTAACCTGGAATTTGTCCTCATCATATAGTTGTTGACTGCCTGCTGTGTTCTCATCACTCACTGATTTTGGTCTCCCACCTGCAAATTTATAAGAATATGTATATAATTTGAAGGAAATGTGAGATCATTAATTATTCTATTAAACCTGATGTTCATATTTACTAATTGAAGCAATGGAAATTGTCAATGCCAATCCATCCATTCGAGTGACAACTACAACAAGTGATATATCATATACTTTTTACAAAAATGTTTTCATTTAATTATATAATTTATTTAACTAGTATGTGTGTGTGTGTATGTGTGTTCGTGTGTTTAGAAGATATATGGAGTTAATTACCTGAACAAGTGACAGCAAGAGTTGAATGAGGAAAAGAGGAGAAATAAACAAACAAGAGCACCAAGCTGTACAACAAGAAAATATCAGCCTTCACCACATAATTATTCATCTTGATCACCAAATTAACTAAATTACAAGAACTATTTTTTTTTTTTTTAATATGTATATGTATATATGCATCAATGAGTTTTGTGTATTGTGAAAAAAATTGCTAGAAGTAAGCTGATATTTATACACGAAGGGGCTGTGTATTGATTTTTTTCTTTTTCTGAATATAATAATAATTAAAATTATTATATATTAAAAAACCACGTTATGTAAAGAATAGTCGCTCAATCTATAGTATAAAATTTCTTGGTATGAGCTAGAATCAAATTGCCTGAATGCTTATTATTCCAATCTTAAGAAATAAACTCATAAAGAAACCGATTCGAAATTGGAGTGCACAAATTGCTCTCAGTATAGTTATCTAAGGTAATTAAGACTTCTGAATAATGTAATTTTGTGGCAGTTTTTACTGCAAAATAAGGCACTCTTTTAAGTAAGCTAACTTTTTCCTTGAAGACAATAATTAAATAGTTTTGTATGTTTGCATTGGAATGGATTTTTGGATATATATTATATCTGCAAATTAAAATGTCAAGATTGAAGATTTCTAATGGTCACTCATTGAATTTAAAGACCTCTACAAAAAGACTGAGAATAAACCATCTAAATTGATAATTTAATCTTTAGGCCTGACTTGGTTTCATGTAGCCATTATTAAGATGCTCTGAACAAGAACATAATTTCAACATTTGAGATATGGGAAATCACTCAACTCATTTTTTTTTTTAACCAAACATCAAATATATTATATATAACTCAAAAAAAATACAGCCGTGTCACCAATACTAAAGAGGTTTCTCGAATAAAAACAACCCTACCCGAGAGCCTTATCAGAGAAGGCTACATACAGCTTCCCCCAAAGGACCTATTAGGCCATCCATAACAAAATGAAGAAGACAACCAAAATATACACAGCAAAAAGTACAGAAAATATACATAACACTTAATCAGGTTCTAAAACCCATAAATCAAAAGAATGCAGCAAGGCAAGAATGTCTTCAACAAGCACTGCAACCTCAATATCAAAGTGTGTTTGATTAGAAATCTTCTTCCTCAGCTCCTTGTCCTCCACTTTGATTTGAACCTTCTGCCATCCTTCTCTCTTCCCATCCAGCAGCCATCCTCTAAGTTGTAGTAGAGTATCCCCTTCGGTCCCCTTTGAGGTTTATTTTGTTGAAGACCACCTTTGCACCACAGAATTGTTAATCCAAGCAGTCCTATGCACCTGAGTGCCATCCACTAATGATCCATTAGCACTGGAAGCTGAAGATTGCTCCCCTACTCCTTGGATATCACCTGCAGCTGGCAACAACCCTATATTGGCCTCTTCAAATTCATTCCACTCTTGAAAAGCTAGCTTTACCACCTGACTTTCAGTACAACACTCCTTTTCAAATAGCCAACCGTTGCGCGTCTTCCACAATCACCACATCAAATATGTTGACAATGAAACCCTGTCTTTGCCATTTCCTTTAGCCATCACCTTACATACCTCTGCCCACCAGTCACTAAACGCTACCCTATCCTCCTGCAACCTAGACCACCACACCCCTGCCAATTTTCATACCTTTTTAGCTCTGATACAATAAAACATTATATGCTCTAAAGTCTCAATTCCCTCCCCACACCCCCCACAGATGCTATCTAAAGGTTGTCCATGCACGCCTCTTTGAGAAAAATCACAACATACTTTGGGAATCCAACAAAATTATGACTATGGATGGAAAGTTCGTATGTCGGTGTTAGGCATTGCTCATAATTTTGTTGTCGTTGAATCAACAGAATGTGGGAGCATTTATACGAATTGATCATTAATAGAATACTAGTAGAATGTCCGGGTGTTGAATTAGGAAAGATATGTAAAAAAATATTAATTTTTCAAAACTAAAATAATTTAATTTTATAAAAAAATATTACTTTGAGTTTTAATTAAATTGTCAATTTATATTTTTTTAATTATAATAATTAAATCCCCTCTTAATATAATTTGAAAACGTGTTGAGCCTAAATGGCTGCCTCGCACGCTTCTTACTTGGCAACATGATATGCTTCGGCTTTTGGTTCGGATACATTTCCTAATTGTTTAAAATAAAATACTTAATAAATATGATTTTTGCTTAATCTGATCCCCTTCAACTCCAAAATAAATAGGATTCTTATATGCCGGATAAATTTTCCAACTCTAAAATAAATAGGATTCTTATCTAATAAAAAATTTAGACGTAATCCACGAAATACCAAAATAAAAAATAAATAGGATTTTTTTGCTTAATATTATAATAAAAAATTTAGACGTAATTCACGAAATACCAAAATAAAAAATTTAGTTTTATATATTATTTTATTTATATAATTAATGTAATCAATAACTTTTTTATATAGTTTCAATAAAAAAAAAATACTATAATTTTGCAAAAAGAAATTGGACACATATATAGCCACTTTTATATTATATCAAAATAAATAGGATTCTTATCTTATATGCCGTGTAAATATGATTTTTTGCTTATTTTATTTATATAATTAATATAATCATTAACTTCATTATATTGTTTAAATTAAAAAAAAAACTATAATCTTGCAAAAATAAATTGGACATATATATATCCACTTGCATATTATATCAAAAAAATAAATAGATTCTTATCTTATATGTTTAAATAGGATTATTTGCTTAATATTATAATAAAAAATTTAGACGTAATTCACGAAGTACCAAAATAAAAAATTTAGATTTATATATTATTTTATTTATATAATTAATGTAAACAATAATTATTTTATATAGTTTAAATTTAAAAAAAAAAACTATAATTTTACAAAAATAAATTGGAAACGAATGTAACTTTTATATCTGGGCTCAGACTATTTGGGAACCTTATTCGCTGTTGTTGAAGTATAGGCCTAATTATGAGCTATGAGATTATAATGATAATGCATATGCGGTTGGTTTGCCCAAGTCGATGGGCATATCTCGCACATTCAATGTGACTGACTTGTCATGCTATTTTCCCTAGTAGCCTTCTTGTTATTTGGATCACTTGGGTCGAGTTCTTTATAAGTGTTGGAGACTGATGAGAATTTGTGGAAGACGAGTTTAGAGCTTATGAAAATCATTCAAAGAGTGTTCATTCATAGATTTCTATTCTGTTTTATAATACATCATTCTTTAGATTTCTATTTAAATTGAATAGTTGAAAACGTACTTCATATATACGAAATCTTTTCCTTCCTACTTGAAATAGATAGATAGATAAATGGATAAATACAGATGATTCTCTCGCTGGATATCAAAAAATTATGGAATGATCAAGAAACAAAGTGTTGATTGCCAAGAAAAATAGAATCAAAGAAAAGAAATCATCTTTAGCCTTTAGGTAATTTCCTTTATGTTTACTTTAAATCTATATATATATATATATAGGGGACGGATCCAATGAGACCACTCCTTAAAATGAGTACGTGAGACTCAATCTTAGTCACTCATTTTGTCTAGATCAAAATCAATTAAAATATACATTAATTAAATAATAAAATAATTATTAGGTGACTCCGGCGTTGACTTCCGGCGAAAATCGTTGACTTCCGGCATTAACCGTTGACTTTCGGCATTGACCCGTTGACAAATAACCTACCAGCAAGAAATAAATAATCTAGCAACAAAAGACACTCAACCTAGAGTGGTGTAGTGGTTGCATTGCTTGTCTTGCTTCCATGAGGTACCAGGTTCAAATCCTATGGGTTGTTNAAAAAAAAAAAACTAGCAACAAAAGACAACTAACCTAGCAGCAAGAAATAAATATCCTAACAATAAAATATAACTAACTTAGCAGCATCAGACAACTAACTTACCAGCAAAAAAACCTAGCAGCTACCGGTAACTAACCTAGCAACAAAAGACAACTAATCTAGCAGTAAGAAACAAACAAATATCCTAGCAATAAAATACAACTAATCTAGCAACTAAAGACAACTAATCTAGCAGCAAGAAACAAATAAATATCCTAGCAATAAAATACAACTAACCTAGCAACTAACCTAGCAGCTACCGGTAACTAACCTAGCAACAAAAGACAACTAATCTAGCAGCAAGAAACAAATAAATATCCTAGCAATAAAATACAACTAACCTAGCAGCATCAGACAACTAACCTAGCAGCAACAAAATACAACTAACCTAGCAGCATCAGACAACTAACCTAGCAACAAAACACAACTAATAAAGATCCTAGCAATAAAATACAACTAACCTAGCAGTAACAAAATACAACTAACCTAGCAGCATCAGACAACTAATCTAGCAGCAACAAAATACAACTAACCTAGCAGCATCAGACAACTAACCTAGCAACAAAACACAACTAACCTAGCAGCTACCGGTGGGATGAGTGGTGGTTAGGTGATAGGCCGTTGTCTAGAGATAGGCAGGTGTCGCATTCCCCCTACCTGCTGGTGCGCGACCTTTGGACGGACGGGTCGTGGGATAGGGGGAAGCTTGATAGAGAATTGGGCTCCGGGGCGGGTTTTAGTGAGCAGTTATTAGATAGGATCCAGCAGATACCCATCTCGAGGGACGGTTCGGATGGTATGAGGTGGAGACTTACATCATCGGGTGTGTTTTCTACTACCTCGGCTTGGGAGCAGATCAGGCTGAGAGATCGGCCGAATCTTCTCTTCGGAGCCATCTGGAGCGACCTTTTCACCCCTACCATATTTGTTTTCCTTTGGCGCCTCCTCTTGCGCCGGATACCCGTGGACACTGTTTTACATGCGAGGGGGATCTCCTTCCCCTCCCGATGTGTGTGTTGTTCTGAGACCGGACGTCATGAAACCGAGACCTTTACCCACCTTTTTCTAGAGAGTGAGATTGTGAGGAGAGTGTGGGAGCATTTTGCTACTTGGACTCATATATCCCTACCCTCCACAGACAGTTTTTTTTAGCTCCTGAGTTTTTTCTCACAGAGCACACACTTTAGACACGTGAGCTTCCTCATTCCTTGTCTGATCCTTTGGTTCACCTGGACGGAAAGGAATAGTGCGAAGCATAGGGATATTACTTTCTTGCTTTCTCACATTGTTTTGCA